TTTGGTGTAATTACAGTTTAAAATCACCAGAGGAAAGGCGTCCCAGCCCGAAACGTTGTCAATATTAAAAACATCTATTTCGTATTTGCCGTTTTTTCGTGGTATAAGATTTTCCTTTTTTTTTTCCTTTTTTTTCGTACCACATCGGTTTTTCTCAGCTGATTTTTCTTCATATTATATTATCTTGTTGTGATTTTAATTGACTGATTTGTAAATTAGATTTAAAATTAATTACACAACATTCTGACCTGAAAGAAAGTGCTAGTCATCAGCGTTTATTGTTAAGAAAACAATAGATATAACGTTGGAAACTACAAAACATTATCAGAAGGACTTAACATAAAATTAAATTCTAACTACAAAACCATCTACGTCAACGAATGAGAATTCGTAAGTAGGTTAAGACTTGAGACAAATACCTATAATTATAGAATGAAAGAATGCAAATTGGTCACAAAACATTGGTGAATAAAAAAAATACAAATCCAATTAAACTTCAGGAGATGTAAACATCACGTGATGAATCCTCTTACACAGAATAACCAATAATGGCGGTGAAAGAAGAACAAAAGGGACCGTCCATACATTAAATGACTCATGACATTTCTATAATGTTTAATTTTATACTGCGATTTTGATTTGCTAATGTAAGGGGGGGGGTATTTTACACGATTTGTTGAATTCGAAACATATTTTTCATTCTTTTCAACGGTCATTTTACTCCTTAGGGGATATTGAAAGTAAGCCGAATTCACTTTTCCCGGTATACATTTTAGTCCTAAGGTTAGTGATATTCAAAGTAAACTGAATCCACTTTTCACGGTATACATTTTAGTCCTAAGGCTAGAGATATTCAAAGTAAACTGAATCCACTATTCACAGCATAAATTTTAGTCCTAAGGCTAGAGATATTCAAAGTAAGCCGAATCCACTGTTTACAGCATACATTTTAGTCCTAAGGCTAGAGATATTCAAAGTAAACTGAATCCACTGTTTACAGTATACATTTTAGTCCTAAGGCTAGAGATATTCAAAGTAAGCCGTAAATCCACTATTCACAGCAGAAATGTTAGTCCTAAGGCTAGAGATAGTCAAAGTAAGCCGAATCCACTGTTTACAGTATATATTTTAGTCCTAAGGTTAGAGATATTCAAAGTAAACTGAATCCACTGTTCACAGCATACATTTTAGTCCTAAGTTTAGTCATTTTTCATATTGTTTCTACCATTGACAAGTCTAGGAACACGTGCTTCTGTAAAATCTAGTTTAGTCATTTTTCACATTGTTTCTACCATTGACAAGTCTAGGAACACGTGCTTCTGTAAAATCTAGTTTCGTCATTTTTCACATTGTTTCTACCATTAATAAGTCTAGGAACACGTGCTTCTGTAAAATCTAGTTTAGTCATTTTTCACATTGTTTCTACCATAACAAGTCTAGGAGCACGTGCTCCTGTAAAATCTAGTTTAGTCATTTTTCACATTGTTTCTACCATTAATAAGTCTAGGAACACGTGCTTCTGTAAAATCTAGTTTAGTCATTTTTCACACATTGTTTCTACCATAACAAGTCTAGGAGCACGTGCTTCTGTAAAATCTAGTTTGTAATTCTTCACATTGTTTCTACTTTTGAAAGAATGAGGCCCTTTACAAAACTTAGTTTACTAAAAAACGGTTTAGTGTTAAAATAGAGATAGGTGGACAATAGTAGTCTAAAAATGAAATCAACGAGGAATAGAGAAAACAGTCAGTAATGTTGTAATATGTTTTTTTTGGTCAGGATGAAAGGAACCACATTTTAACAACAGCTAGCTGGATAACACAGGTATGTTTACACAGATTTGAATTTAATACACAATACTATGTTTAGTTGGAAGTAGGTAGATGTTTCATCTTGTCTATATATTTTTAAGCAATAAGAAGTAGGGCTAAGATATTGGCTGATTATTAGTTATTAATAAACATTTTCTTCCAACTTTGTGTTCAAAGAACTTAAATAATGAGTTAGGACAAAAAAAGTTAACTCGGCTGAGGTACTTGTAAGTTATTTTAGTGGTTTGTTAAATTTCTGTGATCCTTTTAAGAATACTTTAGACATTATCATACATTACTTTAAGTATCGGATCTTTTCAATAGTTTATTACTAGTCATCAAATTATTAGGTCTTTTACTACATTAAATAAAAATTAGTATTTTTTTAATATAAGTATAATTTCGACAATTTATACATAAAGTTTTCTTTTGCTTTATAAGCCCGTAAATTTACAGATGATCCCCAGGGGGAGGGGTGCTTATTAAAGGACTATAAATTCTTCAAAACATCGGAATTCTACAAATCATTCTTCCAATTAATAGAAATCTAAAAATTCTACAAAAAAATTAACATCTCTACCTAAAATCCATAACTCTTAATAAACATATAGTAATTATTATAAAACTAAACGTATTATATTAAAATATTTATAATACTACAATCTAGCTTTCAGAATGAAGTCAACACTAGGTAGATCACATGTTTGATAAAATATAATAATAATTAATCTAAAATTTTAATTGTAATCACTATCAGAATTTCATAAACTTAAGTTATTCCTCTTACACCAAACACAACAGGAACGTTTTTTAAAATTTGTATTTATCTCTTCCTAATATAAAATTAATTTCTAACAATTTAATAAAATTAATTTGTGAACAACTTAATAAAATTAATTTGTGAACAACTTAATAAAATTAATTTGTGAACAACTTAATAAAATTAATTTGTGAACAACTTAATAAAATTAATTTGTGAACAACTTAATAAAATTAA